ATCCACAAGCCAGCTTCCCATAATATTGCGCTACAGGTTCCCCTTCAGTGTATAGTGGATCATCCTGGGGTTCCGAGCCTTCGTTATCGCATCTACCGATTCGGCACTAAAGAGCACGCGTCGGGATTTGGGAAGTCAAGCCAAGAAAAATCCGCGTCAAGCGGCTCCAAGACCAGCTCAAACCTGTGTTTGACAATCTCGGACTTCTCACAGACAGCTTACACACTCGAGATGAGGAACAAACATGCTGCCACAACAATTAGCACGGTCCCTGCCTTCTTTCCTGTCAGCGCTGGGTTTACTGTCGCGATACGAGATGGTGCATCAGTTTTTAAGTTGCAGAATCTGGCTGATCTTATCCCTGCCGATGTATCAAGCGATGACCCTGATTCAATTGCTCGCGAAGCTTTGATGTACAAGATGCGCCCCGAATTCGTTCGAATGCATGGGAACAACTTACCGCTTCACTCCAATACCCACATTTCTATCGAGCAAGTACTTTCTGTAGAGCACCGTGCTTCAACCAGATCTCAACTCGAGGCACAGCTACTTCAGCAATCCGCCATAAGTGCGCAAGAGTGCTTGCACACCGTCATCATCCCGGAATTTGTTGCAGATCTGGAAAGCGGAACGACACAAGTGATCGATAGTAGGTCACTAACGCGAGCGCTGCACGGAGAAGGTATTAATGTGCGCTACTTAGCTTCTTGCTACGAGCTGGCATCACTGAAGCACATTCGTCGTGCTTTGCTCGCCGAGATGGTAGCACGAGCTTGCAAGATTGAGTTCAGAGCATCACTGCGACTGATTCTTCCTGAAGTTACAACATCAATCTTAAGGCAGGCTAAAGCTACAGGAAACAGCGAAAACGGCGACGCCAACGATGGAGATGACAACCGCAGCATTGATCCTGCGACAGCCCGAGCACTTGCGAAGATGGCTCTGCAAGAGCAGGCCTCTCATGTCACGTTGGAGTTTGTCAATCTTGTTTTTGGTACCTCATCTCGTGACTCGAAAACGTTTTGGGAACGGAGGATTCTACCGCAAGTCTATGCCAAATTCGGCATTTCACAAAAAGCACTGAACTTGGATACCATCATCAGCGAAGACTTGCTTCACATGCCACAGTTGTTTCATGCACTTCAAGCCCAGACGGGCGCTTACTTCAGCGACCACATGAACTACAACTTTAAAGGCGCAGAGCCGATTGCCCTCCAGAACATACAATGCATCAGTCCTCGCACCACGCTGCTTGCTCGAACAACAGCAGCGTGCGAAAGAGTGCTGGAAAGTGCCGACGCCTTCCTGGCAGCGGGAGAACTCAGTAGCGCACTTTCAAGCATCATGTTCCATATCTACATTTTGGAAACAGCTCCAAGTGATGAACGCAACTTGTCGCTGTGTCACTTGTTAACGTGCGCTGCCAACATATCGCTGGCGATGAACTTGCCCGACCAAGCGAAAAAGCTAGCAACGTTAGCGATTGAGGAATCTCCGAGTAATCACGCGGACCTGACACGAGCGTACACAATTCTTATGAAGCTGAAACATGCGTCAAGTGACTTGGCTGGTGCCCAGGAGTGCTTTACTAAGGCTTTAGAGCCTATTCAGTGGCATCTCGGACCAGTTCATCCTCTGCTTTGTGACACATATATGACAATGACCGAAATTCTCGGCGATCTGAGTGATCCGGGGCAAGCCGTAGAAACTCTACAGAGTTGCGTGACACTCGTGCGCGATTGCTTTGGTAAGACTAGTCTTCTTTATGCTGATATAAGACGACAGCAAGGGATGCTGATGCTGGCAGCAAACTCCATCGACGGTGAGGCGGTTATTGGTGTGTTTGAAGATGCTCTCTCCGTGTACGAAAGGCACTTTCAAGATCCCGTGGAAGACGTTTTTGTATACAAAGCGTTTGCAGCGGAATGCTGCTATCTGTTGGCAAATCTACGCACTCAAGTGCTTGGGAGTCAAGCTGCAGAAGCAGCATATGGAATTGCGCTCACAGCTCTT